CATGATTACCATGATGACTGGCAAAATCAGAGTGGCAGCCAGAGGGCCTGACTGCAGAGAATCATGGAAATGGTTCATGGGACCTGGCAAAATAGGGGTCAAATACATGGGCCACTGATTGAAATACTACACAGCTCATACTAGTAGAAGAAATAAAGGATGAACAATAGGGGGCTTGGAGCACCTAATCCACAAAAATGTCATCATCCCTTGTATCCTCAACAAGCTTAACACCTTACCAATAAGTACCAGTAGGTGGAAGTTGAGGTACAATTATATGCATTATGTCTCTTTTTCCTTCCCTTATGGTCTTAGAAACATATACTTTACTTCTTTTTTTGTTACAAACTTCCAAAACATGTCACTATTTTTGCTTTAAATAGTTTACTATATTAGATAATTTTTTTAAAGAAGCAAAACCTTCTTTTTGATGTTTTTATGCCTCTTGGGTGAACTCATGTTTCCACCTGCAATTATTTTTATTTAATCTGAAAAACTTTCTTTAATATTTATTATATAGTAATTTAGATGTAACAATAAATTTCTCAACATTTATTGCCTGAAAATCTCTCTCTCTCTCTCTCTCTCTCTCTCTCTCTCTCTCTCTCTCTCTCTCTCCATCTCTTTTTCTCTTTCTTACTTTTTGACCGGGGTCTCACTAGTTGCTCAGGTTGACCTCGAACTCCTGAGCTCAAGTGATCCTCCTGCCTCAGTCTTCTCATTAACGAGGGCTACAGGTATGTATTATTAATCTTATTTTTCAAAGGAATTGTGGCTGGGCATAGAATTCAAGGTTATCAAGGTTTTCTTTTAGAGATTTAAAGATTTTACCCCATTATATTTTGACTTCCATTCTTTCTGATATGAAGGGTGCAGTCAGTAGTACTTTTATCATTGTTCGCTATGTGCATTGTGATTTCACAGTTTCATTCATTGTTTCTAGTATTTTAATCACTGGTTTTTAGCCGTTTGGGTGTAATGTGACTTGGTATGGTTTCCTTTGTGTTTATCCAGTTTGGGATTAGTTTTTTGTTTTTTTCCAGAGGAGGCCTGTCTGTGGGTTTATTTGTTTGATCTAATTTAGAAAAAAATTAGCCATTATTACTTCAATCTTTTTTTGTCCCTTTTCCTTTTTTTTTCCTCCCTGCAGTTCTGACTACATTGTTAAACAACTTTGTGTTGATTACTGGCTGCCAAGACTCTGTTCATTTTCTAAGTTTTCTTCTTTCTCTGTTATAATATAGATTATTCTTTTCCTTAAGAAAAAAACCCACTACTGGAAATTGAATCCAGGGCCTTGCACGTGCTAGAAAAGAGCTCTATCGCTAAGCTACATTGCCAGCCCCTAGATAATTCATTTGCACTGTTTCTTTGTTCATTGAACTTTTTTTTTGGGCAATGTCTAATCTGTTGGTAAGCCCACACAGCAAAATTTTAATGTCAGATATTGTATTTCTCTACTCTAGAAGTTTGATGTGGTTCTTTTTATGGTTTTCATTTCTCATATTATATTTATGTTTCTTTAAATTCTCAAGATATTTACAATAGCTACTCTCAAGTCTTTTTCTGTTTTAAAATATAATTTTATTAAATTTGTAATTTCAGGTCTCTTTTCTGTTGACTTATTTTTTTCCCATTTATGGTTTATATTTTCCTGCTTCTTCAATATATACCCATTTTTTTTTTTTTGAGGCAGGGTCTTGCTATATATCTCAGGCTGGCCTTGAACTTACTGTGTAGCCCAGGCTGGGCTTGAATTCATGGCACTCCTCCTGCCTCAGCTTCTCAAGTGCTGTGATTACATGTATGCATCACCACATCCAGCATGTATAGTAATTTTTTTTAGTGAGTGAATGTCACATGATTGAGTACTTAGATTTTATCATCTTTGCTTAAAGACTGCTAATTTTTTTTCAAGCAAGCAGTTAATTTACTTTCAGATCAACTTTTTGATCTTTGTTTGGGCTAATTTAGCCTTATTTCTAGTGTAGGCTTCCTGTGGTCTTTTTACAAAACGTCCCGGTTTTAAATACTCCACTTGGCTTCTTTCTGTCTTGTGCTTAGGTAAACAACTCCAGCAAGCAATCAGGGGAAGTTTTGGGGGCTCATCTTGTTTGTTTTCTTTCTTTCTAGGATAATGAACTTACTTTGCCTGAACGGTCCAATGCCTGAATACACTTGTTTCATAGATTTGGCTTTCTATTGCTTATGGTAGAAGATTTAGTTTGATGGTAATTACTTATGGCCATATCACACTTAACGTCTGTTGTAGTCAGAGTTTGCAAGGAAAAGGAATTAATATACGACATATAAGTTATAGGATTATTTTATAATATTCACCCAAGAGTCAAATGCAAAAGAGTGCAGGAGATCTGTCCACACACTAGAGACCCAAAGAATCCAAGTGAGAGCCTGGATCCCATGACAATGTCCTACACGATCCAGCTGAAGACCTAGAGCCCATGGAAATGTCCACCATGGGTCCAACTGGAGGCATAGAGCCCACAATAATATCTCATGCAAGCCTGTTTGAAGGATCTGCACTGGGAAGGCTCAAAGTGGAAGCTAGAAAGTCTGCACCAGCAAGATAAAGGATCTGTGCCAGCAGGTTGAGGGATCTGCACTGGAGCCAAGAAGCAACGCTCAAAGTAAGAACCAGAGACCCACCCACCCTAAAGAATCCTAGTCATCCTCAGCAACAGTGAGGTCCCAAGTTCCTCTGCTGACAAGAAAAGCCAAGTTCATATCACGAAAGCCAGTGTGACAGACTTCTCCAGGAGGATCAACAGCACACACCTTTCCTTCCAGAGCCAGGAAGCAATGATGCTCAAAGTAAGGACCAGAACCCCCCAAAGTGAACTGCAGCCATCCTCAGTGACAACGAGGTCCTGAGCTCCTCCAACCATGAGAACTGCATAGTTCATATCAAAAAAGCCAGTGCGGCATGCTTCTCCAAGAGAATCAACAGCCCGTTTCTTCCTCTCCAGTTCTCCTTTTTATGTTATTGGCAACAATCCTCAGGCGGGCCCTCCACACCCAGCATCATGCCGATTCACTTCAGTTGGGTGTTACAAGTTGACCACCAGTTGTCAATCTACCACAACATCTTTGAAATACAAACCTTCTATTGAATAAAACACACTGAAAGTTGCATAAATAATAGGCATACAGTTTGAAGAATTTTCATTAACTGACCATACCATGTAAGCAGCACCCAGATGGAGTAAAAGAACATTAGAACTTCATAAGTCCCCTAGTGTTCTTTTTCAAATATTAATAGTACTACTTAAGGTTAACCAAAATTCTGATTTCTATAACCTATAGTATTTTGGTTCTTGAACATATTATAAATGGAATCATGTAGTATGCATGTTTTGTGCCTGACTTACTTCACTCAGTTTTGTTATTATGAAATTCAATAGTGGTAAGTTTATTCTTTTTCCTGTATTCTACTATGTAAATATACCAAAATTCATTCATCCTATGAACATTCTTATACACATACTTTTTGATGAACATATGAATATATTTCTGTTGAATGTATAGCTAGGAGGACTGGAATTGCTGGGTTCACTTACTCCAACAACCACCAAATTTCTCTAATTAGTTGAGATCTGTCTTCTGAACTCTAGACATATTTATTTAAACCTGAATGACATTTCCATTTATAAGTATCTCAGATTTAACATATAGCAAAACATTTGCTCCACATTCTTTGTTCTCTGAATCAGTAAGTGGCTTAATTCATTTAGTTACTGAAGGAGTCATTCTTAACACTCCTCTTCCCTTGACCCTTGCAAGCAAACCAATCCATTATTAAGCTTCTTGGATTCGGTCTCTAATTTATACATGTCTTAAACTTATCCACCTCTTTCTGTCTTTATTGCCATTTCCCTAGTTTAAGCTGTCATCATTTGCGGCCTTGACTAATGTAACCGTCTCTAAAGGGGCTCCCAGTAACCTTTCTTGCCCTCTTCCATTGTGAGTTTTAACAAATGTAAATCAGATCCTATTTAACAGTCTTTATTAGCTGCCCATTGACCTTAGGATACCTTACAAGTGAGAGTCTGGAGCCTATAAAGTGGCCAATTAGAGCATGCTCTAGCCTTGTCTCATTGCAGCCCAAGCTTATTCTTGCCTCCTACACTCCAGCCACACAATTTCCTTTCAATTTCCAGAACATTCCAAGATCTTTCATGACCCAACCTCACAGATGATTCCTTGGTCTCAAACATTCTTTAAAGTTCCTTAATATGCCTGAAACTTAAAAGATACTTTTTTTTTTTTTTGGTTTTTTTCTGGTACCGGGAACCGAACTCACGACCTTGCGCTTGCCAGCCCCGCAGCTTGAAAGATACTTATTCAGAGGGCTCTTCCTTGACAATCCAAAATTAATCCATCATGGCACCCACTGGTCTTTCTTCATAGTATTGTTCACCATTTATATTTACGTAACAATTCATCCTTTAATGTCTCTTGCTCCTATTACACCTTCAATTCAATCGAGTGTTCTGTTCGCTCTTATAATCCGATGTCTGTCACAGCGCTTGCTGCCTGGAAGACACTTAGTAAATGCTTGTTTAATAATACAGGGCCATGAAAACGCTGGGAGGGAATATGGGGACAGTATCTGGCCCTTCTCAGCTAAGGTTACTTTCTTTCTAGGGTTGATGGCAGAGGGGGCAGGTCCTTTTCTTGCTCGTCCGGAGGAAGCTTTTCCTCCTTCCTTAAAGTGCTGGTTTTAGAGCTGCGTGTGAGAGAAAAACTGTCTCCAGATATAGAGCTGTAGGTGAGGGAGAGTAGCCTCATTTCTGAGGGACAGCACCGTTCCATCCCCAGAGGACAAAGCAATCTCTCGGCGCAAGTGCGTGACAGCCTGCCAATCTCTCTTGGAGGAGGTGGGACTAAGGTGGGCCCCGGAAGGGGGCGGGTCAGCGAACGCTTCCCACAGAACCTGATTGGTCTGGGCCGCTGAACGGGCGGGGGCGGGGCTTGACTCCTGGCGCCAGCCACGTTGGACGCGGGGCATCCCTGCCTAGAGGCCACTCCCGGCCCCACAATGCACTGCGAGGCGCGTCACTCGGAGCGGCCCGTCCAGGCTCGACAGGTACTGCCCGGCCCCTTCCAGTCCTCTTCCCTCTCTGTTCAGGGTCGCTGGGACCCCCGGCTGGCCGCTGCCCTCGCTCTGCCACCGCCTGTCTCGGCCTGCCCAGGTCTGGAAGCGAGGCTGTGCCGAGGGAGCCGGATGTAGTTGGGACCGCGGAGTTCTAGGGGGGCGGGCAGGGGAGGACTCCGCCCCCTTCTCCTTGGGTCTGTGGGACGCGCGGGCGGCTCTTCCCCCTTGTCAGCCGCGCCTGGTACGAGGCAGCCCGAGCAGGGACGACTGAGGGAGGGGACCGTCGCCCTGGGCTGCCAGTGGTTGGTGGTGGGCACTCCCTGGCCCCAGATGTCAGAAGCACAGGGTCCACCTCGCCTGTTAGAAGACCCTAGAGAGCTTGAGGTGGCATTTCCTATATACTCTAGGCAGGGTAGGACTAAACCAGGGGCGCACCATGTGTTTTGTGGAGGATTGAATGCGTGTTGAATCCAGAGACTTGCCCGCGCTGCCTCACGGAAACTCCTTGAGGCCCTGTTAGGGGCACTTTGGGAACGAAGTGGCCCAAAAGAGACCTGAGCAGTTGGCTCGACAAGTGGAGTTCTGCGAAAGAGAACTCCGAACCCTCGCCGACTGGAATCTCTCTGGTAGTAAAAACAGCGTTAGAATTTTTTCCTGCTGCTTAGTTTCCTGGATCATTCCCTTGGGGTAGATGGAGCCCTTCAGAACCAGCTCGCCTATGCCTGTTCAGCTAAGGTAGAGCCCAGTCCAGAGCCAGAGTGTCAGCCACCACACCGGACACGCTAGGGTCCCAGTTGATAGGTGAAACAACCACTTTTTAAAACTCTTAAGTCACATTCCATACCACTGGTATTTGTTCACATTCCAAGCTTGTAAGGAATTAGGCAGTACCTTAAATCTGCCACCTGTGACCATTCCCTAAATTAATGGGACATCCAGGTATTTCCTATGTTGAGAACCATCGCATCAATTTATTCTTTTTAAGTGTGTGACTGATTGAAATTTAAGTATATTGTCTGTTGCTATACGAAAAAACCCCATGTCCTATCAAAGGGGTGAAGTGATTTTCCTCTCTGTATTTGTGTTAGAAGTTTGGATATATTGAGAAGCAATGTCTCATAGGGTTGTTAAGATTAGTTCTACATTTAAACACGTACTTGCTAGGTTAGGGATTGAGCAAATTACTTAAACTTTCTGGGCTTGAATTTCCTCATAGGTGAAAGGAAGCTAGTAGTACCCACCAGACAGGTTATTGGAAAGTTTAAATGAGGTAGTGTGTAAAAGTGCCTCGTTCAGAGAGGGTAATCGATAAGTAATATGAATAGCAAATGCTGAATACTGTATACTTTTAGTATATTAGAAGGCAGGGTTAGGTGGTTTAGATGATCCTATGAGGGAGATTCTATTTACTATCAGTCAGGGAACCCTCTCAGCTACTATTTGTAGCCATATGTTAAGGTAAGGAGGCTGAGGTTTACGAAGGCAAAGCTTGCTGAAGATTACATGGCTGGTGTGTGGCAGAGCCTGGATTTGAACCTGTGCAGCTTGGCTCCAGGTTTCCTCATCTGTAAAGTGGAGGTTATGCCTACCGTCTGTGAATTATGTTGGGGACTGACACATTGCACATGTGTTGGAGGGCCTATTCCTAAGTGTGAGTATAGGGCTGGGGATATAGCTTAGCAGCACAGTTCCTGCCTAAGTGTGAGTATAATTCCACCCTGAGCCAGAGGTCTTAAAATACTGTGCAGTGCAAGTGCCCATACTAGGAGTACCAAAGACTGCTAGTGAAGTAGGGGGCATAGGCAAAGCAACGGAGTAAATTTTGGTTTTTCTTGGTACGCTTTTCCCTTTCCTTCTTTACACAGTCTGCCCCTATTCTGTATGTCACAGTTATAAAGCCAGGCCCCAAATTAAAACGTCTCACAGATCTCAGCTAGCACTTTTAATAAAATAACATATACCAAGTTAGTGTTTCCGAAACTTTGTTTGTTTTTGTCTTTTTGAGACAGGGTTCCACTATGCAGTTCAGCTGGCCTTGAACTCACTTAATAGCCCAGGCTGGCTACGAACTTGAGGCGGTCCTCCTGCCTTAGCCTCCCCAAGTGCTGGGATTGCAGGCATACCCTACCCTTGGCCTTCCCAAACTTTAATAACCATCATATGTATAATAATTTTATAAGCAAATGGACATTTTTTAAAAACCTTGAGATTTTCCCATATGCACTTTTAAAATGAAAATTCTTCTAAGTTAAATTAGGAGAAAAACCTAGTACTGAAAAGCAGATCTCACAGATCTTACTGAAAATATAGGGCAAAAGTCAGTTAAAGATCAATATTTGACAAATACAGTAAGTACAGGTGATGTGCAGATAAGGTAAGAATTCTGAAGGTGGTGCTTGCATGATTGAGGTTTGGGAAATGGTAGATTAAAAGGAAATGTAAGTGATCCCAGGATAAAGTATTTTTTTATCTGTAAAGAGAGAATGAAAGCCTTTGGCTGGTAGATATAAAAATTATATTTTGGGTTTTATTACTTTTTGAGAGATGACTTCCTGATGGCTCACGCCTGTGGTCATTATCTGACAATCTTCACAAGGTGAGGGCTCAGTGCCTTGTTATCTTGGATTTAAGAGATTGCTAGCTATCTGGTTTGCCGTTGTGTGACTTTATTTTCCTCAGCCTTTGTAGATCTACCCTAGATTCTAATTTGGGCTTTTTCATCCAGTAGTTGTTGGGGAAAGGAAATATAGACCACTACTCCCATTGCTTATGAGTTTTCTGTTATTGTTAAAGGTAAGGGTAATATTTTCTGTGTTAAAAGTGAGGACTGCTGGCTTAAAAATTCACATGTGGTCCTGATAAGATTAAAAACAAAACTAAAAAAACCCCAAAACTAATACCACTCCCACAGCTTCCCATGCAGTTGTTGTAATCTTTGCTTTCCATAGCCACTGGTTCTTCCTTGGTTTTCTCAACCACTACTATCTGGACTTTTACCCTAGCTGGGTCTTGGTATGTATAGTTTCTATTTCTACTAGCACAGTCCAGATGAGATTAGAGACTTTTTGGTTTGAGTTTTGGAAGAAAGTAAAAAGAAAAAAATGGGGGTAGTATGTTTACTGTGTGATAGAGAAGAGACTACATTTCCTAAAATGATTGGAATCTGTCTAGCAGTTGGTTAAAACCTGGTATTATTCACTGTTTATTCATCTCAGTTTCTTTTATTTCCGTAGATTTAACTGATTTGGTGTCTACCTTTTTCAACTCAAAAATTTTATCTACTGATAAATAGCAACGGTCCTTAGACAGCCTTTTAAGGATCATGACAGGAAATATAACTGCTGTGTTTTGCTTTTGGTTACCAGCCTAAAGTGTGTATTAGAAATATCTGAAATGCAAGTTTGTTTAACTAGTTTTCTGTTTAGTAGAGTGGCATCCAATAGAGCCTGTGTTGTATTTACTGTTTTCAGTTGAATTTCTGTATTTTGGGAATGTTATTTCTTGGAACAGAAACTATGTAATACCTGACATAATACCTAATTTATGGTAGATATGCAATTAATGTTGGGACTTATGGGTTGGTTAGAACAAGTTTTTCTTAGCATATATTTTTAAGAAATATAAGTCATATCTTTTTGTCTTTCAAGTCATTCAGAAGAGTAACTTTGAAGACTGTGTGAAAGTTTGTAAACTATAATAAATTGTATTCATGATAAGCTCCTAGAAAAATTAGGCATAAAAGAATACTGTGAACCTGGCAAGCACAAGGTCGTGAGTTTGATTCCCAGTACCAGAAAAAAAACAAACAACAAAAAAAAAGAATACTATGAAAAAGAACATTTAGAACTATAAGTCATACCGTGCCCTCACATTAATCCCCAGAATGGTCATACTTCTGAAAAGACAATAGTTTTATATTTAAATATAAAGATAGGGTATACAGATATTTTCCTCTTTTTTTACATTTGGGCTAAATGTTACCATTATGGTTTAACAATTAAATAAAATTTTAAAAGAGGAATTTATGATATAGAGTGTCCCACCTTTCTTTTGATACTTTTTAAAAGACAAAAACAAAACTAGATGAATGGGGAGAAGAGTGCTGATTTGGATATATAATACTAAGATTTTAATTTGAAGATTTCACCATAGTGAAAAGACTGGTTTAATTTGCTGCTGTGTTTTTCCCTCTTTTAAATACCTGCAGGAGAAAAATGTTAGAGGGTAATGACATAGTAATGCCTAGAGATTCCTCCCCTTTCCTCATTAAAAAAGGAAAAGGATGTAATAAATGTAATGCTTTGCTTTATTAGTTGGATTTGTTTTTGTTATCAAATTGGTTACTACCATGAATGGACAGTCAGATTTAGACTTCATATAGCAATGAAAACTATCAACTTCTGATTTACAGACTCTGCACCAATTGGTTTTCTATGGCACTTTTTGATGTATTCCTCATTTTTTTCTTTTTTCTTTTTTGGAATGGGATAATATTGACCTAGCTTAAGTGGGCAGGTGAAGATTAATTTCTGAAATAATACTATCTCTGAAAAAAGCCTATGAAAGCCTATCAAAATTTTTAATTTTTACCAATTATCTTTACTGCTATGGTAGTAAAGAAAAACTTAGTGATACTGCACTCTGATGGCCTGACAGAAAACAATCCCTTAATCTCAGGTGATGAACATGTTATAATTCAATGGTTCAAAATATGGTCCTAAGGACAGTAAACATAGTAATCACCTCGGGAATTTCTTAAAATTGAAGATGCTCAGGCCCCACCCCCCAGGTGGTAGGGTCAGAATTTTGGGGGTGAACCTAGAATTTGCATTTCTAATCCCACTTCCAATTTCTTACTAAGTTACCCAATTTGTTTCGGAATCAGGCCTGTGAAATCCTTTCATCTGTTGTAAAGCATGATCAGAATCCCATAAAATTGTCCAATATGATTTACTTTTTGGTGAGAAGATTAAGAACAACATTAAAGCCAGTATTCTTTTAGTTTTACAATTTACAGTGTGTTGGATAAAAATTATTTTCTGATTATGAAAGTAATATATAATAACCTTGAGACATTCCTGGGTAAATGGATGCACATTGAGACCATACTCTTAAGTGAAATAAATCAGACACACATGTGTAAACACTACATTGTTTCCTGGCATGAGAAACCAAAATTGTAAATAAGGACCAAAATGTGTAATAGGTATTGTGGAATAGGAAGAAAATGTTCAAATGGGAAGCAAAAATTTAAAAAAAAAAAAAATAAGAAGGAAACAATGGAACCTAAAGCTTTTGTAAATGGGGAAGAAAGGAGGGGTTGAACAGAGGGTAGGGAAATGGCAAAAAAAAAAAAAGAATCAAGTTACATCATGTACAGGTACAAATTTTCTGTGTTGAATGTGATCATTATTTATATCTAAAATGTAGCAATAACATGTGATTGAAAAAAGGGAAAGTAATGTCCTTTGTAGAATATTATGAATTTATGAATATTCAGGAAATTATAAAATAACAGTCACTCAAAATACTCTTTCCTGGATATAAACATTATTTTGATTTTGGTATCTTTCCTATATCTCTCCATTTTCTCCTTTTTCTTCATTTTTGTGAAAAAATATTCAATTTTTGTCTTTTTGAAAAACTTAATATATTAGCATTTTTCCACACTATTAAACTTTTTGTCATACACATAACTACTAGTTGCTGCATGGTATTCTGTCATATGGGTATACTATAATTTATTTAATTATCACCCTACTGTAGGATTTTTAGATTGCTTTTAGTTATCCTAATAATAGAATATCACTTTAGATTTTTTTTCTCTGGATCTCTGGTTATATTCCTCTGAATAGGGTTAGATATTTAAATTTACTGAAGTCTGTGGTTATACATGTTTTTAAACCTTGCCAAAATTGCCAGATTGTTTCAAGAATGATTTTATAGCAGTTATTACTTTGATGTACACTTAATGAGAGTGCCAGACAGAAGCAAGTATTGTTTTAAAAGCTAATTTGTCAAGTGAAGTCCATATGCCATTGCTTTAATTAGTATTCCTTGATTACTAGTACATTGAACATTTTTGCATATGCTTACTGGCTTTGAATTTAATTTTTATCTAACCAAGCTATTCATTTTGTTTTAGGTCCTCTCTGTGGGTTGAAATGTCTGTGATTTTGTCTGCCTCAGTTGTTCGTGTCAGAGATGGACTGCCACTTTCTGCTTCTACTGATTATGAACAGAACACAGGAATGCAGGAGTGCAGAAAGTATTTTAAAATGCTTTCAAGAAAACTTGCTCAACTTCCTGATAGATGTACACTGAAAACTGGACATTATAACATTAAGTAAGACTTCAATGTGTTCATTAGAATCATTTGCCTAGTGGTTGTCATTTTAGTGAAGTTTAAGTCATTATAATAGAAATTAGTGTTTGATTAGTTTAGGAAAACTTGTTCAAGTTAATAATCATGTTGTTTTAAACTTTACTAGTCATCATGTTATTAGTCCTTTTGCAGTTTCCCTGCATTTATATCTGGCTTTAGAAATCTATAGTTTTCAGATCACAGATATTTCTTATAAGTTGCTCACTAGGCATTTATTGGATATTTTACTTACCTAGGATTGTAGTAGGCAAACCATGGTGGAAATATAAACATTTATGCCTGATACCATCCCTCTAAGAACTAAAGAACCTTGTATTCTAGTATGTAAAACTGACTGGGTGTGGGTTTAGTCCCCAGTACCACAGTGGATGGGGAGTAAAACTGGATAATGTGCCAGAGTGTGACTTTGTTTGAGATATGTTTAAGCAGAGACCTAAAAGGAGTCAGTTATATGAAGGGTGCTATGGATGAAGAACAAAGCTAAGGTAACAGCCAGTGGAGAAGCCCTTTGACACAAACCAAGAAATGGAGGAGAAAAACATTGCTGCCGAAGCATTATGGACAGTCAATAGAGTGCCAGAAGTTGAGGTTGAAAGCTAGGGACAGGGCAGCCTTCTAGGCTGTGGTGAGACTGTTAATCTGTTGAGTGTAATGTAGAACTGCGGGAAGCCATTGGGGAGTTTATAGATGGAGAGTTACATGATTGATTTTGGCTTTGAGTAGATCATCCAGAGTGTTTTGAAGAATGGATTCTCAGAAAGAGGAAGCAAAGAGCTTAGGAGACTCAGACTTTCAGGTAGAGGTGATGATTGTAATTTGAAATAGGGTGATAATGAAGAGAAATGGTTGGATTTGGCTTTATTTTGGGATTAATACCAACAAATCTTCCTAGTGGATTGAAGTGGAATGTGAGGGAAAAAGAAAAAGAAGTAATTTTGGCCTGAGGAACTGGACACATAATGAGGCCGAAATGAGTAAGGCTAGAGGGCTTAAGTATGCTTCACTGGTAAAAATCAATAGTTCTCTTTGACATGTTAAATCCAAGATGCCCATTAGACACCTACCAGCGTGATCAGGTAGGCAGATGGATGTATGAGTCTGAAGTTTAGCAAACAGAACAAGGATTTAGGTTTGTGAATCAGCGTATGGTTTGTAATTAAATCCATGGGAATAGATGAGACCTCTGTGGAAAGCATACATATGAAACGATTAGAGAACAGTTAACTTATGAGCCATGTGGTGCTGATTATGCATACAGAAGGAAATATAAGAACAAAGTCATAGTTAATAAGCAGAGGGCTTCATTACTGAGATGAGATGTGATCCATGTCCCCATGAATAAATAAGATTTGGCTAAGACAGGACTGAGGGCATCCAGGTGTAGGGAGGAGAAGCAAAATAAGGAAAATATGCTACTTAGCATGGTAGATGCATTAATCTGCTTGGCCTGGTGTTAGTGGATTATGATTAGGGATAGCTGTGAGAGGTGTGATAATTAGTTGATACATTACATTCCAGGTTGCCCTGAAATTTCATATTGAGGGAGTCCTCTGTGATGTAATAAGTTATAGGAAGTTACTGATGCAGGTTTGAGGAAAGTGATGATTAAAAAACAACTCTGATTCTTGTGGCTCCATGGTTCCCACCAGTCCACATTCCCCCTACACAAGTTAAAAATTCCTTATTGTGGGTTTTAAAAAAAGTTATTCTATAAGCATATTTGTGTGCTCTTTTGTCCTGGTTTATTTTTCTTTTCATCATGTATAATTTAAATCCAGCACTAGTTTCTAGCATCTTCAACAATTGTCTCCACTAGGATTTTTTGTTTTGTTTTGTTATGTTGTCTTTTTGAGACAGGGTCTCACTACGCAGTTTAGGCTGGTGTTGAGCTCACTTTGTAGCCCATGCTGGTCTCAAACTCACAATAATCCTCCTGCCTCAGCCTCCCGAGTGCTGGGATTACAGGCGTGTGCCACAATGCCCGGCTCCACTAGAATTTTTATATCTTGGTTTGTGTTAAACAGAAGTAATATATTAAGGAAAATAGATTTAAGGGAAACTTGTGAAACTTAATGTATTGTTTTCAACCAGTTAATTTATTGAAAGGTGATGCTACTATAGTTTCTAACCAGCAGCCATTCTTTTGTTTACAGAATGTTGTGATTTTGTTTCTTGATTTGCTCTGTACTAGTAGAACAAGGAGTGAAATGGAAAGTCTGAGGAGAGAGATAAAGCAGAGAGCTCAACTTATTGGAACATGAAGTAGGAAAATAAAAGTGCAAATAGAAAAGAAAATGCCAAATGGAAAGATACTTCAAATGCCTATGATCCCGGCTGTCTAGGTGATTGAAGCAGGAGAATCACAAATCTGAGAACAGCCTGGGCAACTTCATAAGACCCAGTCTGAAAATAAAATAAAAAGGTCCAGAGAGGTAGCATAACGATAGAGTACTTGCCTAGAATGTTCAAGGCTCTGTATTCAGTCTCCAATACCACAAAAAACATGAAAGAATGAACATGATCCAGACCAATCGTTGGACAAAGGGAAAGAAGGAGTGAAGACAACTAAAGCCTTGGAATTGAGCAGAATGGTAGTGTTGTTGTCAGAAAGGAGGTCTTCAGAAAGGATTGACTGTAGAGGTGAGGAAGAAGAGAGATAATGAAGCTTCTGTTGGTCATTTTCACTGAAGTATGACAAGTCTGTCCAGTGGAAATGGGACAGACATTTTGGAAGTATTCATGTAGATGTTATTGAAATTATGAGGGTAACACTGTTCTCTGAGTTTAAGGGGAGGTCTAGAATAAAACCTTAGAGAATGTCCATAATTACATATTTAGATCACTTGAGTAATGATAAGATAATGCAAACTTACGTTTAATGGGATTTCCAAGGGTTGAACTAGAAAATGCCTTGATGGTGATGGCATATTAAGATATGATGTCTTAGGCTAATTCTATTTTTTGGAGCAAAAATTCAAAACATTCAACAAATTTAAATACTAGGCTCTTGTAGTACTCAGGTCATTATTTTGAGTTTTAGTTGTTATCGAATAATGGTATACCAGATGTCAGAGTTATATAGGAGCTTGGGTTAAATTCCATATTAATTCCAGTAGGTATCATGGACTTAAGCAAAACAACTTGTATATTTTTTTATTCCTCTGCTTTATTTTCTTAAAGTAAGGGAAATGTAGTAAAAATTTAACCCTCCTCTAATTCTGCTTAATTGTGAGTTCTAGATTTTGTATTATATTCCATCTTATTCCACAGAAAGATTTGAGGCAATCTGCAAAATAAATAATAATAATTCAAGAGCAAGTAAATGAATCAGATGAAAGAAATATAAAGGTAGGATAATAAAATCATGTAACATTTCCTTCTGAAGTTACAGACTAGAGTTCATTCATTACTTAGAAAAAGTCTGCAAGTACTGCTCGGAGTTTCCTTGTAACCAAAACAAAGGAGGATAATCAGTAGGATCAGTTACAGGACTTAGCATCCATCAGATAAAAACATTGTTTTTCATATTACTAAGACCTGGTATACATAAAGAGGGATAGCATTTGGATAGCATTTTTCCAGAAGCCACAAGAGTGAGCTTTTTATGATTTTTCGTATATTCTTTAGTGTATGCAAGTGGTGTGGTGTGAAAAGAAGTTTGATGAGAGAGTTTAGGAGTGGGATAAATCAGGAGAGGTCTAATCTGGCCTGGTGCAAGAATACAGTTCAGATATTTGAAAAGGAGTAGATTACATGGTTTTTACAACCGTACACAGAAAAACCTCTGTGCATATTGTGTTTGTAGCCAAAAGGATTTGTAAAACAGAATTTTTAGTTTTAGTTCCTGTCAAGAACTTGGGTTTCATATATTTTCTGTTATTGATAAGAAATCTGATTAGTTGATTTTCTATGTATTAAAGTTTTTATAGTATATGACAATGAATGTAGTCTGAAATATATGAAATTGGGAATTTGTGTTAGCTTAGAAAATTTGTCCTGTTAACTATTTAAAGTTTCCACGTGACAACTGTTTTTTGTTTTGTTTTTTTTTTTAAAAAACTCATGGATTTGAAGTAGCAATGTCACTGCAGCTGCCACCAGGCTGCCCCTTTGCTTTCTGGGCATATGCAGTGCCTTTTCTTTCAAAGCCCGGCTTATAACTTGCCTTCTTCCTCATTGCTGCTACAACATGTCATTTCTCTAGTAATCTCAGTTCTTTGGCAGGCTTTCTATAGAACTTGTGTGACTGCTTTTTTCATCATGTATTAACATTTCTTTATTTTACATTACTCTTTATACTCTGGGTTGTAATTCCTTGAGGAAATTGATCTGTGACCTATACTAATTTTGAGCCATCATTTTTTAGCATTGTGGTTTTCAGATTTGTACAGAAATTGAGGTACCAAAGTAATGAAGTATATAATTATATGCTAAATCAGGTGTTACCTACCCTACATTGGGTTCTGTTTGAATAGGTCGGGGAGAACCAGAGTTTTGAGGAAAGAAATTAGGGGAGCAGCATTTAAAATTTTTTGCTTAGGTGTTCTGGGAAAATGATGTGTTTCACCTGATTACAGTGGCTGGGCACTTCATTTCAGCTGATGGAGTACATTACTCAGAGCACAGCCTGCACTTAGAATAGTGTCTTACACATGTCATGGTAGCTGCTAAATGAGGAATAGTTGTTATAGGGGCATTGGCCAGACATCCGTATGAGATGGATATGCAGAGGTAAGGGACTTTTCGAGTCACATGCCCCAAACCTGCTGGAATGCGTGATTAGAGATTAAAAGATAGCCTGTAAGGCCAAAGTACATGTAGGAGCAAACTACCTTAAGGAATGGATGCTCTGGCCCACCTTCCTATAGATTGTTGTGGAAGTTTGGTAGTGTTTACAGATCACGGATTTGTCTTCATTTTCTTCAAAAGATTTCGATTTTCGGCAGACTTTGTTGATTGAG